TCGACGGTGAAATGGTTGTGGGCCGTTGAACCCTCAGTTTCATTTTTTTATGTTTTTGTTTTATTTTTATTTTTTTAATTTAACTTAGGTGTTATTTTTACATGGTAATGAGGATGCCACACCACACCGAAAAATCGTTAATGGAACCGATTGGGCGCCGCATCAGTATTTTCGACGGAAATGAGGGTCGGAATTTCGATTTGGACAAAAATTGTCACATAAAATAGATCGTGCACCAAACCTAAACTCGAAACAAATAAAGGACGAAAGTGCAGCAAGGGCAAACATAGTGGATGAATGGTGAAATTTTTCTATAGCAATTCATATCCCACCACGTAAACCACAATCACGCCATGTCAGATTAAAAAACCACACCATGTCACATCACATTTTTATCCAGGGGTGCAGATAAAAAGAGATCAAAATTGAAAAAATGTCAAATTATAAGACCAAATTTGAAAGTGATTCAAAAATGTAAAATGGCGAAATTAGAGGATCAATTTTAGAATTTTACAATAGGATAATGGTGCTAGGGACCATAAAATTATGTTTCTCCCATCTAAGAGTTAAATTACATTGAACATACTTACCAATTAAATTGGAAAGCTTAACTTGACATTCGTTAAATAAACTTCCAAACAAGAAGAAATCATCCATAAATATATTAATGAAATCACGCATCAAATTCAAAAACATGCACTTTGAGATGTGGTGAGTGAATTGCTTAGTCCAAATGGCATCTTACAAAAGGCAAAGGTCCCAAAAAGACACGTGAATGTCATCTTGAGTTGATCCTTTGGTGCTATAGGGATTTTGATAACATCCCGACAATTCATCTAAGATTTAGTAAAAAGGATGTCCAACAAACTTATTAAGGAGTAGGTCAATGAATGGAAGAGAAAACGGTCCTTTTTGGCGGCGACATTGAGTTTCAAGTAGTCAATACACATTCTTCACCTGATAGTGGCCCCAGAGGAAACTTGCTCACCTTTGTCGTTTTCAATCACCGTGATCCTACTCTTTTTTGGGACCATGTGAACTGGACTCACCCACTAAATTACAGTGACAACATAAATTATCTTCTCCTTTATAAAGCTTAACTGTCCTCCTTTACTACTTCCACCAAAGTCGGATTAATCATTACAATGGATAACTGGTGTAATCCAAAGTTCATGACAGTATGTGTTATAAGAGGTTATAAGAGTTGATAGAATGGCTTGGAGAAAAATAACTCAAGTAGCTCAAATTATTCCATGAGATCCCTAAAGATTTGAATCCATTGTGCATTTGTATCCGTACAGTCCTATGAGTCCGTTTTTACAATATGTAAGCCCTGTTCCTAACGAGGCATGAGTCAATGAACTTAGGAATAAGTTAGAAAACCATTAAACTGAATTATTAGCAGCAACAGTACTTACAACATCATGAATTCATATGTTTTTCAATTTAAACAATGTTCTTGCGAATTTCTCCCCAAAGGATTGTGTCAAGACTATCAACGAGAAAGGCCACAGAAAAATTTAAAAAATTATCCTATCCCCACCGAACATCGGTCTGCAAAGGGGGGCTATACAACTCTGAGGTAAAGTAAAAAAAAAATAAAAAAATCAAGTAAAGAATATTTCTCTGGTCTTCGGATTCACTTTACGGCGCCTCCTTGAAGCAGATCTCCTCTCTTTTCCACGTCGAACCATGTTCTTTTTGGGAGGACTACTCTCACGAACTACGGTCACTGGTGGACTCTGAGTTCTCCGAAAAGCCATGTGGGCCCTTTGTTCTAACAAATCCCTGTGATAAGCCTGTAAAAACAGAATGGTTATAAAAACCACCGGTGATTCAACAGAACACAGGTATCGCTTGAACATTGATTAGAACCAAAAAAAACAAATTATATCTATACACTAGACCAAAAAATTTTCGTTTATATTTAATCTTTATTTATTAGCAAATCTTATGTATGAAAAAAAAATAATTAATTTTTGTATATACTCAATGGCTAATATTTATTAACTATAAATTGACTTATATAATTTATTGATACAATCCAAAAAATATTATGAAAATTGATTTGAAAAACATATGAAGTCATGATGTTTGAAAATATTATTGATACAAATCATGATGTTTGAAAATATTTATTGATACAATCAGCTAGAAGAAGATAACAATTCAAAGCCATTCTTGGTTCTTTTTCGAATGTTAGAATCCTGGCCCAACGTTGCGAAGCCTGTGAAAGATATGCAAAATCCCTAGTTCCAAAAAATATTATGGTTGTAAGTATTAGTTTAATTAATTATATTCACCATTCACCATTCAAAATTACTTAAAATATTTAATAAAATAATTAAAATAACAATGTTTGAATTATACTAACTTAATGAATAATTTAAAATATTAATAAAACTTTCTAAAATGTAGTCAACTTAACCATATAAGGTACATCTCAGGTGAATATATCATTTGTAATGATAATACTATTGAAAACAAAAACAATATATTAATAAAATTAAAATTTCATGGCCGGGTACAATTCAGAATTATAAAATTCACCTTAGAAATATCTATGTACATTAAGAAAACTATTCCAAATTTAAAAAGATATAATTTTTCTTATATACTACTTTATAACTAAAAATAAGTTAATAAAATAGTCATGTATAATAATTTAAATTATAGCACTTAGTAATTACGAAAATATTCAATATATCTAAATATTCAAATAGATACTAATTAACTCATTATACAAGTTGAAAAAAATGAATTAAAAAAATAAATATAAACCAAAAATAAAAAAATAAAAATAAAAATTTTAACCATAAAAAATTTGTGTGTTGCATAAGGATTAAAGTTACTAAAAATAAAAATTTATTTATCAAACTTCTTAACATTTCATGCACTAAGAATTATTATAAATAAAGATAAATATTATGGGTTAAACGTTGGTCAATTATCGAGCAATGTGCGAATTATGAATTGTTGAAAAAGTTATAAGACTATGATAATCGATAATTTTATAAGTACATGTAAGTATATTGTATGCAAATATCATATAATCTTCTACATTTATAATATTTTATACACTTATAAATAATAAAATTTATATATTTTATAGTCAAGACCTACAAAAAAATTAAATAATAGATAATAATAATAATAGTAAATAAATAAATTTCATATTTCAACTGAATTGAATTGGGAATATAACTTCATAGTCTTATTATTTAATAATATTTAAATACTAAAATATTTTTTGAGGTATACTCCGTGCGACAGGGCTGGTGAATAAGCATAGATCGAAGAACATCATAGAGCAGTTAAATTAGGCTACATATATTTCCCCTCCACACGTGCATCAACTCACCCACAATGACAGATATAAGGCTAGAATTAAACCAGCATCTCAGTAAAACACAAGGACTACATTTTATGGATAGAAAATTTGAAGTTGTTTCAGAGGAATGTTAGTTGGCATGAAAATTCACAGGAAATGCAAGTTGGCATGGCGACAGGATATAAAAGGCAAATAAGGCATGGTGACAGTATATAAAAGGCAAAATAAGGCATGGTGACAGGACATAAAACGCAAATAAGGCATTGTGACAGGATATAAAAGCTACCTGTATAACGAAATTGCGCCTTTCACAATCTAGAAACATATGGATGCCCCAGTTAACTTTGGCTGCAATTTTGTCCCTCACAGTTGAAAAGCTCAACTGATCCCTGGAAGTAAATCGGTCAACTTCATTAAACCACAGACAACTGAAGAGATTTGTGATGGGGATGTGTTCTCTTATAATTACACATCCTTCAGGAACATCTGCAGACATTTTATTTCTCATCAATTTTGAGTAGAAACATGAACAAATTACATAACCCAGCTATAGACTTTACCACTAGTTATAGGAAGCTTAGCAGTTGTGTATGGTGTTAAACCTTCCTTTTTATAAAATTCAATCTGATAATCGATAGAAGTATTATCGTACTTCCCTCCAGCTTTATTGGCTTCGGCTTCTTTAAACACATCAAAGCGACGATAGTGCCTTGAAATAGCAAAAGTTGCATTTTGGCGCCACAAGAACCTGAGGAATTAAGTGGTTGAGGGGTTGAAATATTTGAGCAACATGCATGAGTACAAGACCAGTTTTACATCTACAACAGACTGGATATAATTGAAGTTGATGCAGAAAGAGTCAAAGATACCTCTCAAGAACCTGGTATGGGTCCACAACAAGCTGAAGCTTTCCATCAATCCAGATAGAGTACCTCGAATTCGGAAAGAGCCTATGCAACAAGAGCTTTGGCACCTGAGACAACAAACAAATGCTACTAAGGGTTTCTAAAAATTGAAAAAGATTATAATTACAATAACAACAAGGAAAACATAAGTAAAATAGCCAATAGAAAAACAAAGAACTAATCCGGAATTGGGTTACATCATTTAACAATTCTACTTATAAGCTGAATACCAAACAGTGCAAAGTAATTCAATCACCTTTTGTGTCCAAAAGTAAGCTAGGTTTAACCAAAACTAATCAACGAAAAAAACAAAATGCTACCGCAAACTTTTCCCAGTATCAGTCAACGAATTTTTTCAACAGATATGAAGACACCATGAGATCTGGTTCTGCACATTTCAGTGGTCCAATGAGAGCCTATCCTAACACCTAGAGTGCCAAGTTCTCTCATGCCAAAACAGGACTCCAGGTATAATAACCATTGAGAGGATATAGAACACGAGATAAAGCTCCAGAAGAGAAAAAATGAGCGAACATATCATCAGCTTGTGTGTGATAATTGATAACTAAGGATCAATTCTTAGGTTCAAACAATGTACTACTCTGTATATTTGTCACAAATCAACATACAGGTTGATTACAATAAACATTTCAGCAACAACGGTGAAAACGTAAGGGTATGAACACATGAAGACAACAGACCTTTCCATTTCTCCTTGAATCAATGTAAGGAACATTACGAACAACTATAATCCTCCACAATCCAACTTTCTTGTTACTCCCCAAGATGCTAGAGTTTTTCATGTATGTTTCAGTCACTTCATCAACAAACATAAAGAAAGGAACATCCCTTCGTGCAGTTTCACCAATATTCTTTGGCTGCTGAATTACATCGTAATTTCCTGTACAGAAGATGCGTAGATATATGTCAAAAAAATAAAGTAATAGGCTGGATTAAAGATACTTATATGACCGGGAATAGGCATGATTAAAGATACTTATATAAAAAGGTAACAAGATGCAAGCAGTTCCATAGCTTCTGGAGTGATATTACTTATATGTATGTTACAATCTCAGATACAAAAGTATCGAACTTCATATTTAGTTCATGTTTGGCCGTACCAAATATAGCTGAGGCAACAATGACTTCATGCAACTGCTCCAACAACTTAAGGTCAGTCACATCAATGTCGAATCCAGTTTGATGACCAGGTCTGCAACCTTTGACAAAGCTGAAGAAAACAATATGTTTCAAATTATTCAGATTCCAACCAGATAAATCTTGGGAGAAAGGAAAATGTACACAAACATAATGCTAGGATAAAAATTAAAACTTACCCACAGTGAACAGTCATTGACTCTCGGATGTGAAAAGAATCATTCCTCTGCTTCAGCGAAGGATAGCCACCAAAATCAGAGCCTCCATTTGCTTCGGTGTTTGATGGATTCTCCTCAGAGAAGTAAGTTAAATTCTGAAGAACAGGAGAAGGAGATGGGAGTCTGGGCATACGGGCTATGGCCTGCTCCACCGGTACATAGCATACTGGGCATGCTGACAACAGTCACAAACCAAGTCAACTTAATCTATTTAAGCATGTGACGATATGCAACGGTGCATACATGCATCCAACAACAAACAGGAGGGAACTTTCCTCCACCACAGTATCTTTTTAAGAAATGACAATCCCATAGGCAGTTTTAGCAGTTGTTGTAGCAAGGGCATGTGAAGCAAAGATACAAAAGAGAGAAAAACTTACGGCGTGGGCCGACTCGCCTTGCATCACCGGGAGGAGGGGGCGGAAATGCAAAATCTTTGCATGGATTCGTTAAAACAGTAGCATCCACCGAAGAGTTGCTCAAAATTGAGGAATTGAAAAGAATGCCCCAATAGGTACTCTCTTTACATACTAAAACTTTGTTAATCTTCAAACTACTGTTAGATGGCACTGCTTCTTTTCCAGAAAAGTATGTAGGGGTGATGAAGGACTTGTTAAAATATCTAGCATCAAATGGCAAACCTGAGCTGTCGAAATCATCCTCTGGAAAATAAAAAATAAAAAAACCATCACTCATATACATGTCATTCTTGTGAAGAACTATTTTCTGCTGCTAGGAAAATGAGATTTTCAGGCTACAAAATTCATTAATGCACTAAGTGTACTTCAGGCTGTTGTGCCTAATACAACTACATGTTGAAGCACAAGATGTAATCAGGTGCAAAACTCCTATTTCCTTCAAGTATGACAAAGTTATGTCATTGAATTGAGATGAAAATGTTCAAACAGAATCACAAATAACATTACAGATTAATGGAACGCAGGGAAAGCATCGTTACCTCTTTTTCAATATATGCAAACATTTTGGTAATGACAGAGTTGGAAAATGATGTGCTGAGTTGGGAAATGATTGTAAGACCGAAAAAACAAGAACTAGAGAGAAGCAAAATCCATGGCATCAAACCTTTATTGACTGTAAAGAACCCTGTCATGAATGCTACAATGGCGAAAGCCGCCAGCACCAGCATCGCGACTTTCTTTCTGCTCAAATATCTGAAAGTGGTGGAGAAAAACTTTTCTTTCTCTCTATAACCAGTAAGGGATGTCTTTGATGGCCTGCGAGTTATGTACAGATTCTGAAGCTGTGATCCTCCATTCTGTGCCTGTTGCTGCAAGGATCCAAAACTTCCGGACAGTCTTGATCCCAATGACCCACCAGTCATTGTACCATCAACCCCTCATAAGCAAGTTTCATCTTTTCTTTCTATCACATGTATCCTTCATCCATAAACGAGCACTGTATACCATACAGGATATGGAAAATGCTGTCCCTGATGACCAATAACTGAGTATGTTCGGATTAAAAAAAATAATAATAATAAAAAAAGAATCAACGTTTTAAATGAATCAGCCAGGTTATTCAATAATTAAATTGGCAATTAATTCCTAGAAGAAATGCCAAAGGAAAAAGCTGTGCAGCTTTCCACAACAATGAATCCACCAGAATAGAATCAGTACTGAAAAAATAAGATTAAGAACCCTCCTTAACTTGTCCAAATCTATGAGCGGTTAAACAGTAAACAAATTGGATCGCACCAGCCCCACTGTAAAACAAGCAGACTATGAAACACTAACCCTCTTAAGCAGAAGAACGACAATGAATCATAAAGCACGATAAAACAAAACTCAAGCTTCGGAACTCATAGTGTAACACGAAAGACCTCAGAGTTCTTTTCTCAACGCCAATTCAAAAGCAAACACAAATCAGCGATACAGACATGCGCAGTTAGCTACAAATCCAATCAAAACGGCAAAATCCAACCCCAATCTCCATAGAGAAATCTAAATCTGGACCTCATTTCATAAATGCTCCACGCAGATTACATGTAAATGAAGGCCAGAATACAAAAATTGATCGGGTTTAGCAGTTCACCTTTGGATAATCAGACAAAAGTAACGTTTCTTTTTCCAACAGAAATCGGATGATGTAATTCTACAGAATAATAAGATTTGAAGAATGCTTAGTAGTGGTGGTAATGGTATCCTCCTCGACCTGGGTCATGGTTAGCAGCAGTGCCATTGCATTGATTTTTTTATTTTTTTTTTCTGTATTTATTTATTTTATTGCTAATTATACTTTGTGCTGCCCAATCATGCGCGCCATTTCATAATATGCAAAATTCGATAAATATTCTCTAACAATAAGCAGCCAAAAATTATTGCACAGGATTTCCTTTCCTTTCCTTGTGTTTTAATTTATATATTAATATTTTTTTTTTTTGGGAACGATAGAAAGATCTATATAACTCACAAGAAAGTTCATAATACAATCCATGGGGAACCCCCAAATAGCCCGAAATCTTAAAAATGAGAGGCACACTTACAAAGTGGCCTAGAACCTCAACAAAGGACAACAACTAAATATGAAAAATACATCACCAGAACTAAGAGTTTAGCCACTGCCAAAATGCCTAGCATAAACCACTTAATTCGAAAGTCTAACAACACCACCAAAACAGAGAAAGAACCAAAGAAAAGACAAAGAAAGAACAACAACCGAGACAAAGAAAAAACCTAAGCAACAGAAGAAAAAGCAACCCAGTCTTTTTGAGCCAATTTGCAAACAATGTTTACTAGAATGAGAGTTTTTTGAAACAGCCATATGTTCCTGGATCTCCAAAGCCACCATAGCATGTAGGTGGTCAATTGGATTCTTGCCTCCACTGTGTCAGAGTTGTCCAGTAAGCATACCTGTTGGCACCAATGGTTAAAGGAGTCAGAGTCAGCAGATAAACCATCCCAGTAAACTGGAGAAAGTTCCCAAAGCAGCTTGGCTCTAGAGCAGTGAAAAAGGAGATGTTCAATTGTCTCTGGAGCTTCCCCACAGCACACACATGTGGTGTCTACTTCTAATCCTCTTCTCAACAGGTTTACAGAGACAGGCAAGGTCCCAGAGAGGCACTTCCACAGGAAATGTTTGAGTTTCCCAGGCACCTTCAAATGCCAGCATCTTTTAATGGCTTTTCTGTGATTTTCAATGTTCTTGCTGGATTGAGGTTGGTCCATCTTCAACAGCTTTTGCTGTGCCAAATAGGAGTAAGTGCTGGATACTGTAAAGATGCCCTTCTTCTCAAGACTCCAGAACATTCTATCAGGTCTATCAGCTCTTAAAGTTTGAATTGCAAGGATGGCTTTGCTATCTTCCTCATCAAATACTTGTTTAACCAGCCAGTCATTCCAGCCATACCCATTATCCAACATCAGATCCTTCACCAAGATTAGATGATCTCTTGCCAGCTCCATAAGCACTGGTTTTGGTTTTGAGAGTGTAGGCACCCAATTCAGATCTTCAATTCGAGTAGGTGCACCATCTCTTATCTCAGTTCTCAACCATTTTGATAAGATAGGTAAAACATTAAGCCAGCAATTCCAAGTCCATGAACCACCTTGTGTTCTGCCCACATTGAAAATGGAAGTATGAGGAAAATACCTATCTTTCAATATCCTACTCACAAGCAAGTTAGGTTGTGTGGCTATTCTCCATAGCTGTTTGCAGATGAGAGCATCATTAAATAATCTGATGTCATGGAAGCCCAGTCCTCCATCCTCTTTTGGAAGTGAAATCTTGTCCCAACTTTCCAGTGTAACCCCTGAGTTTGAAGGTCATTTTTGCTCCACCAGAATTGGCTGCAAAGTTTAGAAATCTCAGTACAAATGGTTAATGGCAATCTGAAACAAGTCATTGTGAAGACAGGCAGAGCCTGGATGACTGCTTTAAGAAGCACTTCCTTGCCTGCTGTAGAGAGCAATTTTGACTTCCAACTCTGTAGTTTGCTCTTTATGGAATCAAGCAAATAAGAGAAAACCTCCTTCTTGGATCTGCCCATTCCCAGAGGCAGGCCTAAGTACTCTGTAGACCTGTGAGTTTGGATCCCTTCATGGTTCTGCAGATACTGAACTTTAAGGTTTGAGGAGTATTTCTGCTGAAAAAAATTCTTGACTTCTGGAGATTCACTAATGTTTTAGTGGGATATATTATTATTTAATTCTAATTAGGATTTTAGGAATTAATTTTATTCCATAAATAATATTCCCTGATTAGGAGAATATTACCTAGGGATAGGAGACTTGAGAGTCTTCTATAAGGTGATGTTAGGAGAAAGGAATCATGACCTAATTGGGATTAGTTTATGGAGTGGAATTAGAATTCCTTAGCCTAATGGGATAAGCCCATTGATTGAGCTCGATTTTAAGGTCTTATACAAGAGAGGAAAATCGAGATTAATACATGTTCGAGAGTTAGGGAGTTTTGATTAATCGAACCACCAAGATTTGTCGAAGTAGGTGTTAAGGTAATCCATTAGAAGATCTTAAGGTGATTTATTTCAAACCTTGAAGATCTATTTTTTTCCGGCCATCACCACCATCTGACCGTCGCCATCCGCCGCCGTTGACCACTGCCGGAAATCGCCGCCGCCGCCCAACGCCACCAAAAGTCACCCGCAACCAGCACATGCAGCCGCGAGTCATCATCCGCAGCCGCGCCTCACCAGTCGCAGCGCACGCTTCCAGCGACGCTATCCCGCGACACCGCGCCATCGTCGTCCGCCTGCTCATGCCCCGATCGAGGTCNAGCGGCCAGCGGTCGTTCGCGACCTGACTGCGACCAGCGCCTGTCTGCGAACCGACCATGATCCAACCTGACCCGAGACGTGACCTGACCCGATTCGACCCGAGTCCTTGCAACCCGAATCTGATCCAACCGGCCCGAGCCCGACGAGCCCGATCAAGTGATCCGTTCGTGATTCAACACTCGACTAGAGTCGACAAAGGCCAAAACCTTCCACCGATTGGGTTGTGGTAACCAGACGATCTCCATCAAAGGAAATCAGAAACGTCTCTGAGTCGGCAAAAATTTTAAACGGTAATGTCCTAACCCTAACTATAGATTCTGTTGCGTTAGGGTTTATTATTCCAAAATTCAAACGTGCATGTTGTTGTCGTTCCTAATAGAACCCAGCAAATAGAACTCGGAATAATTTAAGTACACGAGGACATCTACAAAAATTATGTAATTCATTGGTTTAAATAGATGAGGACATCCAAATAATCTTAATGAATTTGAAAGAATTTCAGTCTAGCTAATAAAGCAAGCAATATAAAATGCAAACACAAGCATAAAAAATAAACCGACTCTTATTATTCGAACGGGGTACTACAATCTACCCTCCTTGAAATATTTCCTTCCTCGAAAATTACAAAATACAAAGATACGAAAGAGAACTCAAAACATAAAATTTAGATACTTTGTCTGAATCTCGTCCTCGCACTCCCAAGTCGCGTCGCCCTCGCCATGGTAAATCCATTGGACTTTGACGATTGTCACCTCCCGGTTCCTCAACTGGTGGACCATTCGGTCCAAAATGACTACCGGTACCTCCTCGTAGGTCAGGTCCTGTACGACATGCAACTCGTCAAAGTTCACCACGTGTCCGAGAATCGAACCCGCATCGTTAGCTTGGAAGGCTAGGGGTTATAGTCGACGTTGATTCGGTACACATGCACATATCTCCTCAACATTGAGACATGAAACACATCTTGCACCCCTAAAAAGCTCTTGTGGTAGAGCCAATCGATAGGCTAGGTCGCCGACTCGGTCTAGAATCTTAAAGGGACCAATAAAACGCAACTGCATCTTCCCTCTCTTCCTGAAATGGATCACACCCCTCATTGGTGAGACCTTCAGGAAGACCTTATCGCCTAGCTCGAACTGCAGATCTTTCCTACGCTGATCCGCGTAGGACTTCTGTCGATTCTGGGTAGCCTTGATCCTCGCTTGGATATCATCTACTTACTACACTGTCTGTTTAACAAACTCGGGTTTGAGAGTTCGAGAACCTTCCTCTCGCAGAACTTGTCTTAATATAATGGTGAACTACACCTGCGTCTGTACAAAACGTCGTATGGTACCATATGAATTTTAGCCTAATAACTATTGTAATAGGCGAACTTCACAAGCGGCAATGCATTCTCCCACGAGTCGCCTTGATCCCAAAACACAAGACCTCAAGAGGTCCTCAAGTGTCTCGATCGTTTGCTTTGACTGTCCATCTATTTGCTGGTGATACGTAGTACCAAAGTTCAGCCTCGTGCCCATAGCACGCAAAAGACTCGCCCAATATGTAAAAGTGAATCGTGCGCCTCGGTTGGGAACAATCATCACGGCACCCCATGAAGTAGGACTATCTCTTCTATAATCCCCTTCCACTGTTTCAGCACCTTCGAAACCTATAGCCTCTATTTGAACACTAAAGCTTTGTCTAATGCCACTGCGAATCCTCCTATCTTGTCGGCTTGAGAAAGCTCTCACATTAGGGCATAGGAATTTATCGTTTGGCTACCTGATAACAATCCTCTCTCGTAGAGTCAGTCACACAACTAGTGATGGCAAAACACCACTAGCTACAGACGATGGCTCCGCTATCTCAATCTCTAACTGAGAACACTCTCGAATCAGTTGCTCCTACTAAGTAATCAAACCGGCTAGCCCACCTCGACCTTTCCGACTAATAGTGTCGGCCGCCACGTTAGCTTTCCCAGAACGGTAGCTAATCGTGCAGTCATGCCTAAACTAGCTCAAGCCACCTTCGTTGCCTCATGTTCAACTTGTACTGCTTCAGCTGCCTCGACACATAAGTCGCAACCTTCCCTTGCTACATCAACACACATCGTAAGCCTTGCTTTGAAGCATCATTATAGATCGTGAACTCCAAAGTAAGTAAGGTATGGTCAACACAGGTGCAGTAGTCAGTCTCTACTTCAGCTCTTTGAAACTTTCCTCGCACTGCGGACTCCAAGAAAACTTCGTTGTTTTCCTCGTAAACTGAGTCAACAGTTGAGCTTTCCTCAAGAAGCCCTCAATGAACCTTCGATAATAACTGGTTAGTCCAAAAAAACTACGAATCTCACTCACGTTCTTCGAAAGCTCATAGTTATTCACCGCTCCTAACTCGCTAAGAACCACGTCTATCCCTTTCGCTGTGATAATTTGACCGAGAAAGGCAACTCGGTCTAGCCAAAATTCACATTTTGAGAACTTACCATAAAG